TTTCTTCCGAAACAAGTGCACATGTTGCATAAGATGATTCAAGCATATTGATCATCAACTGATTACTGAGTACATCCAATTTTTTGACCTCTTCACCTTGAACGTTTTGCCTACCAGCTATACCTTGTATATGCGCTAAGCCAGCCTTACGTACTGCTGACGATATAGCCTGTAAAGCAGTTGATGTGTAGTTACTGCGTGATTGTTTGAATGAGATTATTAGAATTTTATCAATATTAATAAGAATATTGGACGGGCGATTGCAAGAGAACTGAATCACAACGAGTGGATTAATTGTGCGTCAGATCATCGGTCTCATCTTGTTTGATCATTCAGTGATTACAAAAGTTAACGATAACATATATGAATGACAATACCTTAACAGCAGTTAGAAGTGATGTTAATAGATTGGTTAAATCACCAGAAGCAGTTGGATGTTTCTTTTGATCGCTGAGCACATATCGTTGCAGTGTGATTTCATCTGTCTCAATGCCGTATTGTGAAGACATTTTTGTTATCCCCTCAAATTAAACGAAATATACATCAATTGAGTGATATGAAATAGGTCGAACGATTTTAATGTGATATGATATGGTAAATAGATATGATTTTCATATGGTGAATAGATAGCAAAGTTATAGAGAACAGATAAGATCATTAGGTTTTTATTGTTGTTGCCTTAAATCCTTTGCGAGTTCAATTCTTCGCATTCAAGTAAATCTGATTGAATCGATGTGAATTGCAGGATTGTAAATGTAGTTGGGGTGGAATGTTTATAATAACTATGATAGTTATCTTCATGATTGGATAAACAACTCAGTGATAAATACACAACGTAATATAATCATAGTGAAAACAATGAAAGGTAAAAGCCGATGGTAATTGTTTGCAACAGATATGCAGCCAGTAATATTACATCTATGCATAAATGAACTGAACTGAACTTGCAATGAAATGAAATTGAGTTTGAAATGTTTACTGAACGAATGAAGTAATGAACAAACGAGAATGAATGTAAGTTTTCGCTCTTATCATTAATTTTTTTAATTTTCTTCATTAATTTTATCATCGATCACAGCGCATTTGTTTCGTGTTGTTATCATATTACTTTCCTTGTCCTTATCTTTTCTTCTCCTTAACATTGCAACACACAGCAATAATCTATATAACTAAACTATGATTCGTTGATTGTTTGCTTCGTTCTCTTCTTATCTTTTTTCGATTTTATTGTATTTGATCTCGTCGATTTATTGTAGTCATCTTTGAACAGTTAGGTATATATGTATCATTTTTTTACTGCTGCTCGTGTCTCTGTAAATGCGTTGTTTTCGGTTTCGCTAGAGTGATGCAGATTTTTGATTTATTTACTACTGATATGATATTTGGTTGTTGAATGATTGACAGAAAGGACTGAAGAACGAAGACAATTTCAAATTTTATTTCGCAGTTGCGTAATGTATATTAGTGATGGTAACAGATCAGATTTTGGACGTAATTTCTGGGCCCAAATTCTGATTCTAAACATTGTTGATTTTTCAGTTAAAATTGTGAAGTTGAGAATTGCGAAAATGATACATTGAACAGATTTTATTTGTTTTTTATACGAGTCATTGATTTAAATGCAGTGTGCAGTGTAAAACGAGCAGAAATAGTGTTTGATATTGTTTATCTTAAGGGAGTTTTACTATTCATTAATTCAGTACGAACAACCAAACAAATTAGCAATAATAATAATAATAATAATAATAATAATAATGAAAACTGTCAGTCGTCATCGTCATCAGCAGGCACGAATATTTCATTTTCTTCCAAAAATGAAGCACCACTTTTTGCCATCACTCCGCCAATATACAACGATGCAATCGTAAAAAAGGCCAACTGAAAAAGGAATGAAATAAAAATTAAACAATCGTAAACGGCAAAAATTGGTAAGTGGAGAACACTTTACTTGATTGAATGTAATGATTATCTTATACTAAAGAAAAAATATATGTCAGTGTTTTCCGATCGTTGATGTGCAAATTTTTTAATGGTTTTTGTAGGATTTTTTAAATTTGATAGAAGAATGATTGGAAAAGATTAATCTTAATCTTAGTTATAATAGTGACAATATTAATATCAATAATAATAGTAATGGCAACAGTAATGATAACGTTTAAAAAAACCAATGAAGGAGCAAATGATCGACCAATCGATCCCATTGATTTCTGATTTTTAAGTCTCACTTCAAAAAGAATAAAGTTTGGTTTGTATAAATTTTGATGACGATTGATTGGTAATGAATGGTTGTTGTATTTTATCATAAAATGAACGTTTGTAATAATAAAATAGTGATAATAATAATAATAATAATAATAAAAGAATAAAAATAATAATAGAGGAGCTGAATATTCATATTTATTCATTTCCTAATTTGTGTACATATTTCATCGTTTGCTGGATATAGAGAGTGTGTTTATAACAGCTACCTTTGAGTAACCATTTGACAGTTCATATGGTAGTGAGCCTATAACGCTTCTCGTAGCTGGTGAGAGTGACGATGAGGCAGTTGATTGAGTATTTCGAATCGGGGTTCGTTTGAGATTTTGGAGAGAGCGTATCAATGATGAGATAAAGAAGAAATATTTTGATGAGCTTCGTGAACTTCTGGCTGCTGAAGTTTCAGTGGCAGTAGCAATATTATTATGTTTCAGAATATGTGACCTGATCGCGGTTGGTATTACTCTCGTGAAATGATGATTATTCATTTGGAGTTCGTCTTTGTTCAACGCATCGAACAACTTGACTTTTTCGTATATGAAAGAAGTGATTTTTTCTGCTGATGCTGACGTTTCTGCAAGAAATGTAAATGTTCATTGATGGAAATTAAGTTGAATACGTTAAAAGGTTCGTTTTTGTTATTTGTAGTGACGCAACGCAAATTTTAGCATTTCTCTTTGCAATAATTGCTAATTACAGAGACAGTGAGGCGCATTTCATTAATTACACAGGAAAAATGTGGCGAAATGGTCGCGGACGTCATCCTATTGGAATCGATTGCAACACGAACCGCTGATCGCAAGAGGGCACGGCGCGTTCATTCGAGTACTTAACGTGGTAATGGGTGTCACTATGGTGGCATGCATTACCGTACACTCATACTGACTAATTCTCACACACAGAGTGGCAGTTTATATTGTAATGCAATACAGTCTAAAGCTGAACCTGAACCTAAACCTAAACTTTAGCTCGAGTTAAGTTTAAGCCTTAGCCTGAATCTAATTCTGGGCCTAAGCTCTCATTAAAAACCTCACAGTGGTAAGTTAGAACAGACAGTTTGTTTAATGAACACTGCAGCCCGGTATGAGTCTAAGCCTAATAAGTACAATTCGCCACCTTGCCTCAGTTTAATTATCATCACTTGCCTTCAGGTAATTCAACGAAGACATGTCTCAGCACACTATCTGCTGCGCGAACAATCAATCTATAGCATTGAAGAACACGACTTTTGCAAGAATTGCCGGCTCAAAGATGATGGCGCCTCTGGCTATTTCGCCGCTGGTTCTGTAGACTTCTCTGCCACTATGTGAAATATGATATGACTACGTTAAGATATGATATGATAAAAGTATAATTTAGTGCGGTGAACAGTCAACAATCAATATCAACGGTTAGATGAGTTTGTTTGGTGGGTGGAAGTACAACATGATGAGCAACATAAACTACAATTGAGCCGATTCTATTCGTTCATCATTCTTTGATGTTCAGTTCATTAGCTTTATCAGCACTTTTACAAAAAACATGCAACCTTATCATTTGATACCCGCTAATGCAGGGCTTCGTTTATTTTAAGCACACATCAACACGTGACGACGCAGTTTTTAAGCATTTAAAGTCATCAATGATCGAAAGATTCTCATCAGGAATAGAGGTTTTCCAAGAAAAGGAGAAATTATCTTCAGAAGAAAAAGACAGACGGAACAATGTGCAAAAAATGCATGGCAGAAGGTTGTTCATGATGAGTGCTTTCGATTGCTGGCATTTCAAATGAGCATCTCATTTAGTGTAATTAAGAAATTTATCATCTAAACTACATAGGTGCATAATCGTCGTCAGTAGCTGTTGAAGTTTTCAAGTCAATTTTTCAATAATTTCAAATCATAACTTCAGTTCAATCAGAATTTCAAAAAAAATGAAATAAAAGAAGTTTGTGGTGAAACAGCTGATGATAGGTGTTAGCCGAGCGGAGAAGAAGGGAAATGAGAATGAGATGGGAAAAGCAAGCGAGCGAGCAAGAATAAGAATGATTCATATTTGTATGAGGAAAGGAATAAAAATTTAGCAAATACGTTCATATAAACCCATACGTATTGTCGAATGATGAATAATGTTTTCAAACATGAAACACCTACAAAAGAATTACAAACAGCACATATTGCTCATGTGTGGTCGATTGGGTTAGTGCTTAGTCGGTGATTTATTCATCACCGAATGAAGTCGACCAAAATGAGCAGCACTATAGACCCGGTTAGTTGTTGCTTAAGTGAGCAAATGATAGTGGGCGATTGAGCATCGTAAAGCGCTGGGATGGATGTGTGAAAAGATGGATGCATATTCGTTCAATCTCATTGCGTTTTTCATTTGATTTATCTAAGGAAATGATAAATTTAGAAGTTCATAATGAGTGTCTGTGAAGTAGAGATAATTTAACAGAAATGAAAAACACGTGCGTGTATTTCAGTAAAAATGAATAATTCAGTGTCGACCTTTGACTTTTTCAATGAAACAAATGAATATTTGAAACTGAATTTAATTTGGAAATGTTGAATGATTTTCATAGGATAGAACTGAAGATTGAGCGAGCACTTGTTGAAGAGATAAATAATGCAAAGGCAAGATGTCCAAATAAAGGTCCCAACCCGCAATATAAGCTCAGTTCGAGGAGTTGGGATGGCTAGAACTCTAACAAGTGAGTAGATGCTACAGGGGGTATATTTTGTTGGTTGCCGTTTAGAAGGTTGAAAATGAGCACAGATCAAAACACTCAAAAAACTTTTTTCAGCTCAGCATACAAACAGCCAAGCAATTTGTGCGTTTATTAATGATAAATCGTTAAACGAAGGAGTGAAAAGAATGTGAAATATTTTTAGCTGAGAGAAAATAAAGTATTGGTAACCATATGGTAAATATTACTGTTATTGTGTTTATTATTGTTATTGTTGTGTTTATGATATGTGTTGTTATTTTATGTAACAATATATCAAATTGAATCCTGTTAGATTTGATGAGATAATCCAATCAGTTGGTGCATTAACAACTCATAGAGTGGATACAATCCATGATTATGAGATAACACTGTGATACATCAATGTACGAAACGTTTAATAACAGCTGAGTAAATAAATAAATAAAGTAAATAAACATCAATGAAGTCACTGTGCACCAACAATAAGTAATCGAATAACATTTATTTGGTAACAAACGAGCTGCCATTTAAGCCCCAGAATATGCTAATTGCAAGCGCAACAACGGCGATACCACCGGTTGTACCCACCATAATACACCCAAATTTCCATTCTAATTCCTTCGATAAATTCTCTTCTTTCAAAAATATTTTCTCGATATCATTCAACGCTTCACGAATAACCCGCCATCCATCATTGCCATCCGGTGCTCGGACCATTAAGCAGTCTTCATTTTTCATCATTTCTATTTTTGTGCGTATCTCAATAATAATTATAATATAATAATAATAGTAATAATAATAATATCAAGAACAATAATAATAGTCACATGAGTAGATAATTAGATGAAAATCATATGATCGCCTGCTAAGTCATTCAGTGGCAAAAGAAATATTAATAATCGTTATCAGACACATCTGCATTTTAAGTTGAAGTTCATTCTAAGCTACTATCCGTCGAGCTCATCCATCCGAAGACAGATGTTCCAAGTTAAAATTTTGAAATCTTCCAAACAATTTCAAATCAACGCATTTGAAAACGTCTATGAAAATTGTTAGGCAACGATCAGTTGAATGGTTATATCGGTGATAGGCAAAGGTGGTGGGTGGAGAATTTAAACTGGAGTTTACCGGTTTTTTAAGTGCATTCAACTATTCTAATTTTATGATTTTAAAAATGGAATCTCTGATTTCAACAAAAAAATTTCATAAGTAAGTTCGCAAAAGTGATCTCAGTGGTTGATTGATTGCATTGTGCATTCATAAATCAATGAAGTGAGTTATACGATACCTCGTCAGCGTCCTTGCCATCGATCACCAACGATGTATATGCGGCATTCTGAAGAATCACCACTAACTGACAAAAAACCATACTTGGTAAGTGTTGCAATCGTTGAAATAGCTCAAAGTTCAACTCGGTATCATTCGATGGCACATGCAACTGGCTGTATGATGTTGCGAGTTTAGCGCGACTCAAAAACGTCAATAAATCATCATTTCCAACCCCGTTATCATTGGTCGAATTTCTTCCTATTGGAGAGCATCTAGAAAATATGAAAATTGATTCAAAGCAGTGTGAGAAAATATCACAAGCTCAGTTCCGAGCGATTCCTCGGCTCACAGCTTGGAACAAATATTATGAAGCGTCGGTGAATCAGTCGATCGAGTTTATGAAATGATCTGGTGATGGATTATAGACATATTTGAATATTCGAAAACAGATTACCGTTTCGAATCATAAATTATCAAAATTCGCTTTCGATCATCGCATTTTCGAGCGTTATCAATCAAATTCTCGAATTGTCGTAAAGTGGTTATCTGATTCATTATAATTGTTTCATATTGCTCGAGAAATGTCATGAAATCCTTCTGAAATATTTGCGAACTTTCTTATACAAATGAGTACGGAGTGATTTTTGTTGTCATTATTATTATAAGCGCTATTTTTGTTTTCAGCATTATTATTATTATTGTTATTATTATTATTATTATTATTATTATTATTATTATTATTATCATAAGGATTTATTATTATTATTATTATTATTATTATTATTATTATTATTATTATTATATTATTATTATTATTATTATTATTATTATTATTATTATTATTATTACGATAGAGTTGGAAGTTGACATGAAAAGAAGTTGGAAATGTATTCAACGAATTACAGTGACGGAAAGGCTTCAATGAAAGAGTTTCAGAAATGGGCAATGCTTGATCAATAGAGGCTGCTTTATATTCACTTGTTCACATTCATTGTCATAATGTTTCGTGTCTTAATTTCACTGCATTTGGTCTATATTGCGGCACTGCTATTGATATGATGTATAATTGATATTGTTACATTCGACGAACATCAGTTCCGTTTCAAACAATTTTACTCCGATGAATAATTCTTTGGTCAGTGGTCACTTTTCACATATACACTTATTCAATACTTGTTCAGCCTCTGTATAGATTTATCAAAACGACATTCTGGATAGAAGACATTGGAGATAAAAGAGCTTTTAACTAACTTTATTGCTGAGTGAGCCGTTGAAGTGAAAGCTTTTCCCGTTGATCAAGTAGAGTACGTGTGGAAATTTATGTAGACGCTTTAAATTAACACCGAAAAATTGGAAATTCCTTCGTATCATATGAAAATGATAGGCGATTTTTTGTTGTTGTTTATGTTGTGCTGGAAACGCGGTTTTTGACTTAGTAATTAGGAATGGATTGGAAGGTAGTGATACTGATGATTCGGTGTAATTAGCATATTGTTGTGCTTGCTGAGGAGTCGTTGTTGCGGTCGTTCTTTGAGGTTTCAAAAGATAACGTTCATTGAATTCTCGTACCCACTGAGGAATCTGAAGCAGCTAAATTCAGTTCTGTTGGCGTGGTATGAGTTCAAGCTCTTGAGCTTAGGCTGACTTCAGAGCGATAATAGCAAACCATCCACTAAAGTTGCTGTTTCATTCGTTGTCAATTTGAATGAGACGTAGATTTATGCTTTCGGTCAGACTCAATATGCTCAGACAAATAATAGTAAAACTAATTACTCGCAACGGCTGGGGTACATTTTGCTGGAGTTGATCAGTTGATCAATAGTAAAATCGGTATTTGTCGATTCAGTTAATTGAAAAGCTGAGAACGTTTGAGTAAAAGGAATTGATCAATTACCTGTTTACGTAGTTGCTGACACTGTTTACGGCATAACAGTAGAACCATACGACCTTTTAAACCTTTCGAGTAAATTAGTGATATTGTTCGGAGAGTGGATTTATCATATAAGGAAATCCTGTCGAATTTTTTATTCAGTTCACTTACCCATTCATTATTGTTATTGGCATTGTCACCATCACTTGTTTTATTATCATAGTTGTCGTTGTTGTTATTATCGTAATCATAAGCAACACTTTTATCAAATTTTACAGTTGTTGATGTGAGATTACTATTGTTAATGTTATTATTCTCAATACTGACAGCTGAACATAATTGGAATTGTTGAAGATGAAGTATTGCAATAATTAAGCAAACAAAACGAATGCATAGTGACAGTGAGCAATATATGACGAACATCTGATCACATCAGCGAAAATATTTGGTAAAACTGCAAATAAACGTATTGGTTGCATAATAATAGTAGTGATATACATATGTCAAGGAAAGAAATATGGTATCTGGAATAGATGAGGTGCAATAAGAAAGTACTTCGGTTATAAGAGAGAATATAGCGCCAATTCGGTTGTCAAGCACATTGGAGCAATAGCCAGAGCCGAGGACTATTAGACTGAGGTTCATTCGAGATCTGCACCTTTCCTGGACCTTAGGCTGAGTCTGTGGTTAGTATATGTAAACAATGGTATTTATTACTTGTGCATAAGAAATGATTTAATTGCACATTGAATGAGTCCATAATATATTATCTACTTATTGAGATCAACTTTGTACTCATTTCGAACAAAATGTAATAAGATCAAGTTTAATAAAGAATAATAATTGTAGAAAAGGATTTATGACGGGACCGACGGTAGACAAGAGATTATTAGTTGAAAAAGAGAGAGTAGAAACTGACTGATGTTTATTTCTTACAATGAGCCATAATTTTTGCATCATATATTTACATTGATGTAACTTTTAAAATTGAGAATCTCGGGGGTATATCTTGTAATCAAGTGTTAATAAGCGTTCATGTATGTATGGTTCATATTGATTCTTATGTACTGATTTGGTATGAGGTTAAGCTAATATCAGCGAAAGTGATGATGATACTGATCATGATAATGCACATAACAATAACAATAATAGTAATAATAATAACAATAATAAAGTAATTACTGAACCAGTATAGGAATTGTATTATATAACCGAGATATAATTTCGAAAACAGATTGAGAACTTCATATATCGGATGGTATGTATAGGTGGATGACGGTGGCTGGAGGTAACGTAATGTGAACAACACAAAAAAATCAGCAGGAAGAATGCAAAGAAATTATTTAAACGGTTCACTAGATCGATGAAGATATTCAGTGGAGATGAGCTGATATTGTGAATGATAGAAATAGAAGCATTAATCTAGTTGGTTCAAATTTTTCTAAAAGTTTAGACATATTTGACGTATTCTCCCTTCGTTGTATTCGTACATCCATTTGCCTGTCTTTGTTTCTGTGTTTGTTAGAGATTGAGTTCTAGTCATTATCCTCATCTGTTGATTGAATGAATCTCTTTGAATATTCCTATTGAATTGTAGCCTTAGGCTCACTGAAACTGTTTATTATCTAGATCCGTTTTACACTTTAACACTACTGAGTTAAATATATATCTATGCGTTGCTTGTGTTTATCAGTTTATCCTTTTCAACAACACCTTAAAACAATTGACCTTGTTTGCTTGCGCTGCTGCTGCTGCTGCCGTTATTGCTCTAGCAACTAGTGCTTTTGTTTTGTTCAGCCTTAATAATTTATCCACAGTCTGTATTCCCTTCCCGTTCGTCATATCATCAGATGCAAACAGAACTCATCTAATCTGTTCCATCGTCATTTATTCAGTACTCTTTTATCTGCTGATTAGAACTAGTGATGTTGTTCATCGATTGATATTCGTCATGTCTTATTAGATCATGTATGTATACTCAAACTTTTTAATCTCAAATTTTAATTCACCTTTCCAGCATGTATTTCCTTTCATTCGTTCACTTTCTATGCTATATATTTGTATGTTCCATCCAACACTTATTATAAATGTCATATATGCGTTTTTCTACCTTACCTTAACATTTTAGTTTTCAGGCGAAGTTTTTGCATTGTAATAAGTATAGTCATGATAATAAGCAAAGAGAACATTTGTCGTTGATATACTATCTGCCCTTCGGTTCGTCTGTGCATCCGGAAACTCAGGAATATGTATGGTTGTACCGAAGTGTGTATGTGAAATAACGTGTAATGAGTGATCTTGCATATTGTGCGCGTTATAATGCAAGTAATCTTCTTGTTTTCATTGTTGAAGGAATAGTTTTTGTGTGATGTGAAAGTGTAGCTAGTTATTAAGTCAGTTGCACGTCTCTGTTTTGAATTACCTTCGGCAATAAGATCAGTTAGTACGTTCGGACCCATCACTCTTTCGTTTCCTTGCACACAATCGTATTAATTATGCATGGAACCATTTGTGCATGTAATAGCAATTACAGAGGTGATGTAAAGGATAAAGTGCCATTCTGTTGAGGGGAGGATGAGATATGATATGTGATAAGACTTGTGCATTATTGTACACCTCTCCTTCTTATCACCTATTAACGAAGCCTTAGTCCTGTCGTCATCATCATCTGTCTATGACAAATGCAATATTCCATCCATTCAAATATTACAATGAACTAACTGCACGGCAGTTATCACAACAGTAGTAGCCTAACGCAATTACAATATGCATTCATCCATCGATTCATCCATCCATCCGACTTATTATCCTCATCCCTCATAAACATCTACTTACGTACGCACCTACTACAAACTTAAATTACCGTCCGTCTATTGTATTACTTTAAGCTTATCTCTAAGCTACTATCTTCTTAATAACTATAGTGGTGTGTATTTGTTTATCTATTCATTTTATTATATGTGTATTCAATCCACATTTAAGCAAATATCATCATCATTCTTTTACCTCTTTCTTTTTCCTCTTTTATTTCTTCACTGATTTCTCCATTTCTTCCTTCATTCATTCGTTCATCGTTAATCTATCAATATTTCCACAAACTTTTTGTCCATCTATTCATCTATCTGTCTGTCGAAAATTCCCTTCTTGATTTATTTTCTTAACGAAAACTTTTTTTCTGACATCGACATCTAATTTTAATACTCTTCCCTGCCACTTCTTTTCTTTTCATCTTTTTCAATTTATTTTCATATAAGTGTCATTTTATTCAATTGAATATTATTTCATTCATTTCTTATTCTTTTTCGTAAAAGTTATTCAGATATTCATTAATTTATTCTCATCTTAATCCGATATTAATTTCTCATCGACTCCTCGATTATCTGTATTATTTATACAAACTTCATAAGTCGCGTAACTGGAGGAGGATTTATTCCATGAAGCATTATTCATTCATATCTATTGTACGCTGTGTCATTGCTATTACTATTATTATTGTTTTTATTATCACTATCATCATCAATGATCATCTTATTTTCAAGTCGTAACATTTCGTTTATCAATCAAACAATCGCACATCACAACTAAGAACAAACGAACGAAGTAACTTTCTAAAAAGGTGGTGTCAGTCTGGTGTATCGTTATTTATTGATTCATTCATTGATTCATTTATTTAATTTGAGTGATAGGATATTTCCAAAAACCGGAAATTTGACTAGAAATTGTCACCAAATAGTTTATTTATTTCATTTTATTTGAGTAGAATTCATTCGATTTGATTTGATTCAAATTAAATTGATATTTTATTTGATTCACAAAGAACTATATACACACGATATATGTATTATATGTGTTATACATGGAATTACAATATCGTTTTGATTGCTTTTTGCAGTTGTTTCTGCTGCTGCTGTTTCTGTATGGTATTTGAGTTGTAATGCATGCATTTGAGCATGTTCACGTAACTTATGCTTCTAGAATAGAAAGATTCATTGTTTCGTGTAGGTTTATATGATGGTTTTTGTCAATTTACAATACAACAGTAACAGTTGTTTGACGAGTATGAATCGCCTCAGCAGAATTTTAATAAGTTGACTGATAGTAATCATCGAAAGGTAGTCGCTTGTTCACTGCGAAACCCACTGGGATGAATCTACAGAGAAAATTTTGGAATGGCAAAAATGGAGGCGATACGCATAAAAGTGCATGCTTAAAGTGGGTTTATGTCAAATTGCGATCATGAAGAGTGTACATCTTACATTATAGTTGGAGAGTAATCAATCGAAGATAAGATGAGTATTTCTGATAGTAAAAAAGTATCATGCATTACCTCAGAAACAAGGCTCGCTCATTCAAATATTGCTATGAAAGCCGATCCTGTTCATTGCCTCTCACTTAAAGTGGACTGGACTGCTCTACCGGGTACGACTACATTCCCCGGGTTGTTCTCACCTCATTGATTGAACCAAATGGACCACGTATCTTTTGCACTGGAATTCAATTAGTAAGCCTGGCACACCGATAATAATGATAATGTTTCTTGAGAACGCGTCACCGTTAGCTCTTTGCAAATCCTTTCAACGTTTCACCACTTCATACGATTATCAGACAAAAGAAATGCTCTCTTGCGTTCGCATTTTTCATTTGTGTTTTTTTTGTTTGACTTGCAATGAGAATTATCGTTATTGCATATCATCTCTGAATACATGTTTTTATTTGTGAATCATTTCAGTAATGAATTCTGTCAGTTTAATAAATTGCTTCTTCGATTAAATATTGGACTGTTTCAAGATTCATTTGAGATCAGGATGAGGATGATATCTGGAAAACAATAATTAAATAATGAGAATATTGGTGAAGAAAGAGATAAATAAGAATTGTGATAGTAATATTTAGTTTTGATAGATCAGTGACCATCTTTGTGCCTTAGATTTTTATTTTATATTTGTATTATTGATGTTGTAATGTGATTTTATTGAACATTTATTATTATCGATTTGATCGGAATTCTTTTCTCTTTTTGAAAGAAATTTGATGTTGTAATGTTATGTTTATCATTGTATTAGGTTGCCACGAAAGCGAACATAAATCTTGAAATATCCAATATTCTTTTCTCTGTTTGAATGAAATTTCGAGTCATCAAACATTTTCATTCGAACTAGGCACTATTTGAAGCAACACACTGAGGACATTTCACGTTACGATAGATAGACGTTCGAAGGTACATCTATATTCTCGAACACCTATCGGTGGAAGGATGCTTCGAAAAGATGATAATAGTGCAGTGAATATGGTGGATGGGGGTGACGCTTCGGTGACAGTTTTCGCCAGATGATTTGTCTGGGATGTTCAATTTGATTCTCATAAGAAATCCATTGATGAATTGAATTTGGGGATCCCCGTTTGTTGGTGTTTAATAGTCGATGTGTTGCATCTTTTGATACTAACATTCGTTTTTGTATCATTTCGGGGGACATTATTCATTGTTGAGCTTTGGCTAATGTACCGATCAAATTTGATAACATAGGCGATATTCTCTCTACTGGTTCTTTAAGTATGCTATCGTGGAACAGGATTAGCCTGTTCTTATTAACCACTGCTGGGTGGCATGCTCAGCGTCACGTATGTAACCACGTTTTGTGATAGCCATTTGTTTTTCATCAGGTTATATCCTCCGAGTGCTTGTCTCCGAATTCATTTTAAACGATGAATTCAAATGCTGATTAGCTAACTTCAAGTCGAAATCCCCAGAAGCGATTTTTGGAGCCAACTTTGTACTGTTCGTTGTGAGGCGAGCGGAGACATATTCGGCTCTTACAGAAGAAAAGCTGGAAGGTTGACGATACGATAACCAAACTGATCAAATCGGCGCTTGCTTTCGTGGCGACCTAATATAATATTATCACTATTATTACTGTTATTCTTATTATAATTATCATTATTATTCACATTGATCTCGAATACTGCTTATTAACGAGAGTTTATGTATATGTTCCGTTCGAGAGCGTAATAATAATGATAATGGTAACAATAGTCGTAATCATGATGATAATAAAAATAATAATAATAGTGATAATGATAATTATAAAAGTTAAAAAAATAATGAAAAGGAGCTGAATATCGAAACGAATGAATTAAAACAGTTTCAATTTTAGCAATGAAATGATTACTGTAATCGATAAGGATAATTCAACACCCGAAAGTGTTGTTTCAACAAACGATAAAAGTGTTCAATGCAATCATGACACTGCAAATGCAAATGGTAGTGATAATAATAATAATAACAACGGTAATAATAAAAGTAACGAAAAAATGATAATAAGGCATGCGAAATCAAGCTCATCATCATCTCCATTGCTCAATCGTTATTATCAATCCCCTCCTGCATTCATAGGAATATCAACCTCACCATTAGTAGGACATCGAAATACCAGGCAGGTTTTGTTCATTTGTTTACCGCTCGTGATTCAGTAATGCTCATAATAATAATATGATAATTTCAGCATTAAGAAATTAAGCGAACAAGATCATTTCCACTACGGCAACGTTGAAATTGGTTCAATAACAATAAGTTTAATCGATTTGAATATAACTAAAACTGACATTGAATTACAACTTCAGATTGAAAGTAATTCAAACAAATGGTAGGTTATCAATATATACATGATTAAATGTGATGTATCGATATCACTGCATGCAGCAACAAACAGTGAGGAATTGGAATGGAAATTCAATATGATAGTGATGATATAAGTAATGATGATACTAGTAACGGGCTTCCGATCAGCCTGAGGTTAACACCTTAGCTTAGGCTAATGATTAGCTTCGCTGAAACTTACGCTCAAACTGTCGGCGTTTTTTCATTCAACAGCATTTTGCATTCAATAAACCAAATGTGGATACTTTTCAAAGGACTGCATATTAATAATATTAAACAGCAACAAGGATTACTCTTTTTAGGCTTATAAAACGTTCGTTTGAGAAATTATGCGAATTTGATTGTCAACTGCATCGTTGTGTGTTTGATCGCAAGCATAGTCGATTGAGGGAGTTGAACGAATTGAATTTTGAGATTTTGAATCGTGATGACTTTAATTTACGAAATGAATTATGCATCTATTTTAATCGGCTATCACAAATCACCGGAAGTTTGATACGGTGTTTTCCGGTTTTAAGATTTCTGGAGGTTAGTATTTTTGATATTACTCTTTTCTGTGTCATTATTTTTATATAATAATGAAGCATTGATAAGTTTTTCTATTAAAATAGTAACAGTAGCTCATAATGAGTAGCATCATAGCACATTTAAGTATTTCTGTGTGTTCTAATTAATCGTCACCAACAATTTATTAATTATTGCATTGTGTATACATCCTCCTTTCGCACACCTAATGTTATATCAGCCGTACGTGAAATGATTGGTCGTCATGAATTTTATTACGGATAATTATTCAGCGATAAATGCTTAGGTATAGGAGGATGATCTCCCATTTTGGAGGAGAAAGGCTTAAAATAAGCTCAAAAATGATCGAGAGCGCAAATATTAAATGATTATTCCTGCTATTATTATAATCATTCGAATAAGTCAGGTGGATAGTCGAGGTAATCGATTTATCCCAGCTGAAGAGACCTCAATCAATACACCAGCAATAGCGACTGCGATTGTCACCAAACAGTATGAATCACAATCCACTGATCAGATCTCTTTGAAGGTTCATTTATGTGTTATTGATACAGTTATTGTATTAATTTGTATTGTTGTTGTCTTCATTACTCTTATTGAAGGTTGGTGATATAGTATCAATAATTGATAAGAATCTTGTTGGATCGAATGGTAAAGCGTGGTGCAAAGCTAAATTGACAATTTGCAACGGTGATATTGGTCAACAACAGTGTTCAACCGTTCGAAGAATATCCACCCAACAACCTCAGCATTTTCATGTTCATCATTTATTATTTGTCTTTTGAACAAGATAATATTTCATTTATTTTTAATAATTGCATATGAATAACACTATCATTATTGTTATTTAGGTGGGAATCTTTCCAAGTGAATGTGTGAAAATCTTTGATGGTAAAACATTCGATAATGATCATGATCATCAATCATCAACAACAAAACACCAAAAGCGAAAACAACAACAATCTGCTTATCATAGTTTTATCAATTCGATCGCATCAAATTCAAAATCTTCAAATCATCATCCATTGATGTCACCACAGTCATCGAATGCCTTCTCTACCACTACCAATAAACGACATAATAATATTAGTATTAATAACTCATCACTTATCAAAGCTTTCCTATATCGCACTAATTTATTGCCTTCTTCGTCAACATCATCATCTTCTGCTTGTGCTCATTCCAAGCACATTCCCGTTTTCGGAATCGATCTAGTGGAATACCTGCAAAAGACGGGTGATGAGAGTGAGTTAATTTCCTCATTATTGTCACTTCAACTATCAATAGTACTATTATTGCTCTTCTTATAAGCATTACTGTTACTCTTATTGCTATTATTACTTTGTAGCCTTTGCGTTTCATCGTTTACTAGAATTAATATTATCAGTGTAATGAGATAGATGGATACTCAAGCACTACCCACCCCAGCACTGTATATTCATCATTCATTTAATCACGGTTATAATACCAACTGAGTTTGTTATAATATTAACACATTCTTCCTTCTTTGACATCCTTCTTTTTCATACTGCTGGCGATATCAGCACATGCTATCTATCATCCGTTCTCATAAAATTCTATTGATTTGACGATCGTAGAGGTTTACGGTTACTTTTCAATGATTTTAAAGGAGATGGCCCTCAGATAAACATCAATTGTTTGCTTTCATTTTTTATTCATTTAATAGCTGAACTGAATTGAGTGAAATTCTTATTTTTTGTTTGTGAAACGCTGCTATCAACTCAATTGAATGACTCTTCGACTTGCTTTTTTCAGTACCAATAATTTTAAAGAAATGCGTCGAGGTGATTGAAGCTCATGGAATCGTAACGGGTGTGTATCGTCAATGTGGTATTCAATCAAATATTCAGAAGCTAAGGTAACGTTTCATAGGAAATTTTTGAAATTAATTCTTTGGTTTTATCTCTTTTTAATCCCGTTTCGATTGAATGTTGAAAGACTTTATCATTCTGAATTTATCGCTATATCAGTGTGAAGTTATTAATGATTGAATGCTCAAAATAGCAATGACAGATGTCTTTGTTAATGTTATTTCTGATCTACCCGTCGACTATTGACTTTTCTTACTGAAAGTGTCATATACGTAGCTGTTGATTTATTAATCTGTCTATGAGTGTTTAACAACATTATTATCTTCTCGAAGCGCTTTAGCGTTATCTTATGATCCATAGATTGATTAAATGAACACTTTGAAGGAACGGCTTCGACTCGGGTTCATTACCGAATCTGAACGATGCGGCGATTCTTCGTGATATTCATTGCATATCATCGCTTCTTAAACAATACTTTCGACAACTGCCAAATCCACTTTTCACATTCGAATTATATCCCGATTTTATTGTGCGTTTTTTAAATGATTATTTTTGTTTGCCTTTCACCCAACAGCCAATCGAACGGATGAAGCATCGTTGATTGTGTGCGGTTGATTTTATGCTTAATCTGCACTGAGGATGTTACTGATCAAATGTACACAGCTCAGTCTCTTTTTCATCTTCGAGCTTTCCGTGAATTTGAATGAAGCATCCATGCTAAGTATTGTTAGCATAAGTGATAAAAACGTTTATCAAACGTCCTCACGCCTAACTCCATTGTCTTTCGGACTGAGCTGTCTTGTGCAAGAAAGGTTCAGTTATCCTCAGTGAAGCCAGAAATGTCCACTGGGCAAGAGGCCATTAGCAACTGGAATGAAAATGCGACAAGACTGAATATCATCAGTAAATTATCGTAGCATCATTGTTACCCTTTTTAGAGAGCTTATGAAGTGAATGATGGAAATCGCACGGATCGTTTTAAAAGTGTTCTCGATCGTTTACCAATCGAACATTATCGGTCAACTTCATTTCTTTGTTACTTTTTTGTGATTCGTTTGTTTTGTTGTGTTGCAATGAAGAAACAAAAATTCTTCCTGTGCTATGAGAAAAGAAAGCAGTCAGTGTAGAGAAGTGGTTATGTCGCAATAGAGAGTCGAAAAATCGCAGCCAAAGATGCTCAGTGCCGTTTGTGGAATATATATTTTTTCACTCACTGACAACTATTAATATGAACCACAAGTGGTGTGCATCTAAATCGCAGTCGGCTAATGATATTGTTATTTTGCAGAACGGCGAAATATCTGATTCATCATTTAACACGTTTGTGTCAGTGTACGCATCTTACTGATATGAATTCGAAGAATCTGGCGATCGTTTGGGCACCTAATTTATTCAGGTAGGTTGTTGTTTGTTCACTATTGCCCTTTTTGCTCGTCATTTGTTCATCATTTCAGTTTATTTCATTCAGTGTTTCATCCTGTTTATAAAGATCCTTATTGTCACTGTTATTATGAATGATGAGCAACTGTAAAGTTAGAGCTGTGAAGTTTTGTTAAGGTGATAACTGCAAAATTTATTTTTGATACTAATGACAATATTAGGTATAAAATAATAGGCAACAATAGAATAACTATAAATAGTAATAACAATAGGTTTGATGATGTAAAACCGTGTTAACAACTGTAATAGTTCAGTGTGTTTTCCCGTTTTGTTCATTTTCTTAATCGCATATTTCAGTTCAAATGAATTTCAGATGCCCGCCATGTGAAAGCAACAATAATGATTCATATGTATTACGAGGACTGAATATACAAACGGGTTTATGCAATTTCCTTCTCGTGAATGCAGCTCACTTGTTTTCTTTTGAAATCGATTGTTCCCTCAACTCGAAGCCCTTAAAAGGTCAATTGATCAGATATTTCATTTCCTTTGAGGATACATTTCTTTTCCTATTCTTCTTATATCGAATATAGAAGCTAATTCATAGCTTTTTGGCTCAGGCTCGATAATATTAATGATGACATCCGGTTTCGATTTCGAGCAAAAATTTTCCCCGCCACGGACAAGATTCTAACCGGTTAAGTCGTATCAATTACCGGTCGGATGCCGTATGGCTGCTGAGTTGGTAGAGTATTTGATGGGTAATTGGTAGGTACTTGGCGAGTTCGAGTGCAACCGTATGTGTAGTTGTATAAAGTACTCAAAATAAATGAATAGAAGATAATCAAATGTACCGTCTGCAGATTCAGTCAGATTCAATTCAACCTCAACGCTTAAACCTCAGGATTACTCGGACCATTCTAGCACCACTACACAGTTAGCGTCTTCTCATCCTTGCTCTTCAACTTCTCATTCTCTATGCAACACCGCATCACCTGATTTAACGCATCGAAACTGTATTGATCTCAATGGTGGTCCTTCATCATTACCTACGTTCAGAACCGTTCTCGAAAGGCCCTCAAGGTTTTTCATTTTATTTGCTGTTATCTTTACTTGTTTTCATTATCTGTTATTGTGTACAGTTACTACAACCGTGTTATTTGAGGGATTTAAAAAATGAACAGCAGTCGTCGCATCAAGGCGTAGCTGTTGATTGGCGACGCTTATTGAGAGGACCATCAGTTGATAACGCGTTTACGAGTTTACGGAATCGTTGGCGTAATCAAACTACTCGACGTGGTGCCAATATTGTGGATTGTTGTAATAACGATGAGAATGAACTGGCCGTGAAATGGCGGAGGTTCGTCTCATTTGATATATTGTTTAATCGCGTCAGTGTCATGAAGATAAGTTTGCAATGATAGTCAAAGCATTTATCTATGAACAAAATTTATGTGATAATATTTGATCACTTTGGTGACCATCATCGATTTTAGAAGTCCATCAGCCGAGGAAGTTGGAGTTGGTTCTGGTGGATTGTTCCGACAAGCACGTAGCGCATCATTGATATCGTTCGTTACGAAGAGTGTTGAAGAGTTTCGAAATGGTGTTATGAAAAGCCTACGAAGACAGCAATTGCACCACAATCGACGACAATCCACTATAGCCTCCAAACAACGACAATCACCAATTTATTATGGCACCTTAAGGTTTCTTCACTTCATACTTCTGACGTTCATCATTGCTTATTCATTCATATCATTGCATTAGCTAAACGAATCAATAAGCATCGTGTGCAAATTGCAATATATTTGTGTGACAGATGTTATTTTATATTACTTCATTATATTAGTAGCGTTATTATTGTTGTCGTTAATATGCATGTGATTGTTGTTTTATTAAAATTTAGAGAGCAAACGGTTGGGCGGATACGAAATGAGTCGATTTCATCCTCATCAGATGAGAATGTGAGAAGTGATGGACGGGAAGAAAGTAAACGAAGACGAGCACGACGTGACGGAGTTTTGAGTGCGGTCGAGTTTGAGCATTTACCATCAACGGTTTGTTTGTTTATTGGTGGATTGATTCATGACTACTTTTCTGACGAAAATTAAAGACGTTTGAAATTTTTGTTTGGTTTTCATTTAAGTGGTTTAACTAGCTGGATGTTTTCAATTAGGAAATGATTTTCGGATTGAAAATGTCCCGAAATACGTCTTACTCTTCCAGTCATGTTGTTTTATGTTGTTTTTTTTGATACGTATGTTGTTTATCACCATTCATCTAATGAACTGGCACTACATCGATTTTGCACTTTTGCATTCTTTCCATTCAACAATTTTGCACTGTGAATGGATGGATAGAAAGCAAGAATAAAAGAGAATATTGCAAAAACGAGAATCTCCAATAGACATGTGAGTGGCAGTTGATGGAGAATTGCTAGAACAATCCATCTGTGTAACTTGATTAACTCATCTCGAAGCACGGAACAAGATGGATGGAGAGCGTTTCTTGAAACTTACAAGTTTTCTTGGGCATAGAGAGAGCTATTGCACTGAAAGTCGAACGTGAAATGAAAATTTCGACTGTTGCAGTCAACAGCAGATAAAGGCGCAACACAACAACTCACTGGAAGTAGTGCTTCAGAAACGAATTCAGTTAATAGAGCCGAACAATTATCTACTAACAGTCACAGTGATAGTCGTGCGACATCATCAAATCAACTCGCTCGGTTAGTTTTTGTTCTTTTGATTCAATTCTTCATTGTTCAAATAGTCGGAGTCTTGATTTTTTTTTGTTGATGAATCCTCGTTAAGTTCGAACGATCATAAAGTGTTTTGCAGATATTTGTTTTGATATTTTGCAGCTTTTGATTTTGATATTGAAAGCAGATTTGCAGATTTTTAACAAGTTTTTGCGTATTGATAACCAATTCAGAGGTTGAAATTTTTAGATATTACAACATTCATATAAAGGCTTATAATTGCGGATGTTCTATATATGGTGTTATGTAGTAAAAAAATCAATAACATAATTGCGAGTGATGACAACGATATTGCAAATAGCGATAATGCTTTCAAAAATTAATAATTCAGGCGAAAAGTGTGCCTAAGCGATTATGATACAGCTGACAATATTGATGAAAGAACGGATCAACTAGCCTTATCAAATCATGAGGAATCATCAGAGCGATCACTGAGGAATGATAAACCTCAAGTATGTTTTTACTTTATATTATTCATAATGATAATAATGATAGGATAATAAACAGATAACTGGAACGTCCTCAACAGAATGGTTCGATCATCAGTCAGTATCATCACTATCGTCAGCATCTCAAAGTGCTTCAGCTAGTGACAGCAATGAATCATTGCAGTTGGATATGAGTCGATATGATAATGTTTCACCGCATTATATGCGTTAGTTTTTTGATGTTTCTATGTGCAGAGACATTTTTTCTGAAGTTTTTTCCACTAAAATTTAATGAGTTTTCAGTGCGTGCAGCAATAAACAATAATGATAGCAAGTATGGCTGTTCATCGTCAAAATCAGCACGTAATTACACATCACTTTCTTGCTGCAAATTTGCTCAAAATAAAAATATAAAGAGTACAACTAACAAGAATTTAACAAATCGCTCAAACATTCAACTTTATTTTTTGTGAAGTTTTTTTTTCGCTTTTCGATTTGAAGCGCATTTCAGTATGAAGAAAAGTTTGAAAGTCATTTGTTTATTTGTGTATCCATTTGTTCATTAGATTATTTTCGTCTCATCTTATCTCCCGTCGCCTTGTCATTTTTATGTGAACGTTTTTGTTTTCGGATTTAATGTTCTTGTCACAGAAATATTATCTTTGTTAATTAGATTTGTTATTATTGTTAATGTTATTAATTTTATTGTTATTATCAACATTTATTGTTATTGGTGAAGGTGATTAGAGGAGAGATGTGCATTTCTTTATAATTGGTACTCGTAATGAGTTGTTATTATTATTACCGTTGTTAAATGAATGCGTTTCAAATGTCATGAATATTGGAAAGAAATATGGAGCAGCATTCCGAGTTGATTCAATATTATTCGTCTAGTGAAGGATTTCATTATTGTTAGTAGGAGGGATAGCTGCCAATTTTTTTAATTAGTTGAAATTTGAAAAATTCAATGATTCTTTTCTCTGTTTGCATATTTCTTGGAAACATTTCAATGTCATACTTCAAAAAAGTATATATATAT